GCCTCCACAGGGGGGCGGGATGGGGGTGGGGGGGGCCGCATTTGGGCTGGAACGAGGACTTGTTCTGACACTTACTGGCTACGTGACCTTGAGCAAGTCATTTTACCTTCCCAGGCCTCGGCATCTTCACGCAAACCATTCAACTAAACGGCCTCTAATCACAGATTCTGCCCTCGCCCCATTTTGACATTTAAGTGGGTTCTCTCTCCCCCAGAATGTTTCTTCCTAATAAGCTACATGCAGAGTCCTGACCTCAAAACTGGTTGTAGAAGAGGTAAGGATGAAACAAGCCCCACCACACAAACAAACACACACGCATACATACACACACACACACCAAGATTCGCTGCTCATCTGTGCATTCAACTAATAGCATTCAGACACAGCTCCAGGCACAGAGGATAGAGAGGAATAAGACGGATAAGATTCCCTACCACACGGAGCTTCCGTCCTGGATGGGGGATACCCTTGTTGTGGAAGATTGATAACAAGAAGGTAGGCAAGTAGGTTAGCCCTGGAGGAGCGCTAAGGAGAAAAATCAAGGAAAGAAAGGGCACAGGAAGAAGGCCGGGCGGGAGGCTGCAGCTTTCGCGGGCGTGGCTGAGCAGGAACCTACAGAGAAAAGGCAGAGGAGGAAGGGCCTGCAGCGGGAGCAAGGGGAGCCTGGGCATTTCCCTGGAAACAGCCAGGAGGCGGCGGAAGGTGCTGGAGGGAAGTGTGTGAGGGGAAGTGGTAAGAAAAGTAAAGTCAGGGGAGGAGGGCAAGGGAGAGGTCACAGAGAGCCTGGCAGCATGCCCGCAGACCTTTCGGAGGGTTTAAAGTCGAGTGGCATGGACTGAGTTAAGTTTTAGCAGGATTGCTCTGAGTCAGAGTGAAGAATAACTCAAGGGACAAGGGCAGAAGCTGGTCCCAGGTCTACAAGCAACCATCTCAGCAAAACTCTAGTGGGAGTGGTATTGGGGGTAGGGAATGGGGGTGGGGGAGGGGCAGGGGAGGGGCTGGGGGAGGGGATCCAGTAAGTAGCGGGCAGCCCCCCCCCCCCATGCACAACCCCCACCAAACATCTGCCATAGGGGATGTGTCAAGTCCCGACCTGGAGCAAACTTTTCAGGGTGTGGCCCAGGAATCAAACCCTGCTTTCAACAGAAGCAAGAGGAGGCCTCCAACACAAAAGGGCGCCTGTAAATAAAGCGTGTTCCTTTACATCTCTAAAGGCCATTAATCCCCATTCTAGCTGCAAAGAAAGAAAACAAACCACAGCTTTGGCTTCCAAAGGCCTGGGCCCTGTCCAAGGAAGATACCTGTGAAAGGAGCCCTACCCCGTGACCCAGCGCACAGCAGCCCGAGAAGTACGCCGTTGTGTAAGTGCCGGGTAACTGTCCCACATTGCTGATAGCGCTAGCACTTCTCGGCGTATGCCCCGGGAACCAGGGAGGGAGAAAACGGAGTTGCCAGGCAGGCACAGGGGGCCTTTTGCCAACTACTTAGATATTTTAATTCCCCGTTGCCCCAGCAGCTAAATAAGCATGGAGAACAAGCAGGCGAGGAATACTAATTAGAGCTAATTAGGCCCTGCCCTCTTCCGCCTCAATCCCCTTTGGACAAAGCCCCCCCGATTCAAGGATGGTGGAGCCAGAATGTAAATACCTAGGGTAAACAGCAGTCCACACACCAGGCCCCCGTCTGCATCTCATTGTCCTGTCACTTCTAAACCTACTTCGGATTACCTGAAGAGGGCCACCAACCCACAGGCAGATTCCAACAGCCCCAGCACAGACCGAGGGGCCTGGGGGTGGGGGCAAGTGCTGCCACCAGCAGTCCTCTGAATAGACTCCTGTAGGGCTCAGAGCATTCTATTAGCAGGGCATCGCTGAAAGGACATGTAAAACGCCATAAATGATGATAGCAAACGCGACTAGTTCTGCCGTAGGATCCACAGCACATCCCCCACGCCTTAGGGAGCAAGGGCCTCCCCCAGAACGCCCCCCCCCACCTTGGTTCTGTGGGAAGACGGGTCCCGAAGTCTGGTCTGAGGCCCTTGGCCACGGGATAAGGCGGAGAGCAGAGAAGGTAAGCCTGGGGCGGGGGCTGTCAATCTCCCAGAGGCTTGTTCAAAGCGAGCGCCCTGAAAAGCCTGTTTCTAGCTGGATGACGCACAGAGATGAAAGTGTGGTGAAAGCAAGAGATGGCAACTTTGCTGATGGTCGAGGGATACCCTGGCAGGCACCCTGAGAGCACCTCTTTCTTCCGCTGGGTGAGGAAGGTTTTCCTTTCAAATCATGTTCCTACTAGTAGTAGCAAGAGAGAAACAAACTCTGGAGAAAGTACCCGCAGGGCTTCCAGGGAAACAAGAGGAAAACTGTTTCAAACTATGTTTGAAGTTGGCTCAGCACCACTGGGAAGCCAGAACTCACAGAGAGTTGTCAGCCCCTTTAAACCTCGGCAAGCTGCAGGGCATTCGTAAGAGGGAGATGGCCAGGTCTGGAGGCCAGCGACCGGGCCTGCTCCGCCACCATGCTGCGGGCCCACCAGGAGCTGGCTGAGCCCCAAGGCAACGGCAGAGGAAAAAGTAACCTGAAGGAGTCGGACATAGGTCCCACCATGGCTCAGTGCTTTTCTCCCACCGGAGGTGCATCATGTAGGACAAAGGGCACTGAGCCTAAACAGACTTGAGGTCTTGCCCTGACCAGTTTGGCTCAGTGGACAGAGCATCGGCCTGCGGACTGAAGGATCCCAGGTTCAATTCCAGGCAAGGGCATGTACCTTGATTGTGGGCACATCCCCAGTGGGGGAGGGGGGGTGCAGGAAGCAGCTGATGGATGTTTCTGACTATCCCTCTCCCTTCCTCTCTGTAAAAAATCAATAAGATATATTTAAAAAAAAAAACAACACACACACAAAAAAAAAACTAGAGGCCCACCTGAAAAACGAAGGCAGGGGTCCTCAAACTTTTTAAAGTGGGGGCCAGATCACGGTCTCTCAGAGAGCTGGAGGGCCGGACTATATGAACTACTAATTCCTACTGTAACACCTCGGCTGCGCTCACTGCCCAAAAAACCTGGCGGGCCGGATCAGACTCCTCTGCGGGCCGCATGTGGCCCGCGGGCTGTAGTTTGAAGACGCCTGTTAGGGACATGTATGAACTTCAAAAAACAAATCACAATGCAAATGAAAAGTAATATGCGGAAAGAATTGTTTGCAACTGGAAATATGAGCTTTTATTAGAATCACAGAAATGTCAAGCTGTGAGGGAACTTAGAGGTCGTTTCCTTTAGCAACTCCTAATTTTTGGAGTTCACAGAACATTAAGAACACAACAAAACAAAATGGGGGGTGGGGAGGGAGCAAAATGCATATAAGACTACCTGGTTTTTGGATGATGTCAAAAATGAAAAACTACCCTCTGTTACCACTTTAAATCATTTTTAAAAAGTTTCCCACTACAAATAAAAAAGAATTTCAAATTAAAGGGCAGTCCTTGCTAAGCAGGGGACCGGTTGGCAAAGACACACTCCTGTGTTAGACAGGCTACATCTATTTATTTATTTATTTATTTATTTATTTATTTATTTATTTGTTTATTTATTTATTTATTTATTTATTTATGGCATTTCCCTGGGGACCCATGAAAACATCGTGATGGGCACCGGTTGCCAGATGGGAGTTTGGAAGCCGCTGATCTATTCCAAGCTCCGGAGTGATGAGTGTCCCATACAAGAAGCCTCGCTACAGTAGTGAGTTTAAATCAGGCCTGAAGGTTTTTGTTTGCCCAGACCCCTCCTGCGCTCAGACCGAAACTCCGCTGCCTCCGCGTAAATGAGACGCCACCGTGGAGAGGGCGGTGCAGCTCCCTCCGCGGCCCGGCCATTGGCTCACAACAGCCACTGGGTACCTCGGCCTTTCAAGGGAAGGGCGCACCCCAACACGCTTATTCCCTACGGGGAAAGGGAGCGTTTGGGGCTCCCTGCTCTTTTCTGGAGGGGTCAGGGGTAGCTCCTCTGCCTGGAAACCCCAGCGCCCAGCTGGGCATCCTTTCTCTGGGGCCTCCTCACTGCCACGTCCAGCCCTCTCCCAGCTCTAAAGAAAACTTAAAGCAGGTAACACACTGCAGCCAGCCCTTAGCAGTGTGCGCTAACGCCATCACACACACACACACACACACACACACACACACACACACACGCTGCCCTCCACTCCAGAATCCTCCCGAGCTCGAAGCACGTCTGCAGTCGCCGTATAAAGGAAAGGAAGGCAGGGGAGTCAGATCGCAAAGTCCCAGGGGCGGCTGGGGCTTGGGACGCGGCTCTCCCTGCGGGTTTGCGGTTTCCTGGGGGAGAAGCAGGGGGACTCCGTCGCTAAAGGCAGGCGCTAGGCTGGCCGGGGCGCAGTGAGACTCTCCGACCCGCTATCGGGCCCGGAGCGCCCGCAGCTCCCGGAGACCAGCCCTCCGGGGCAGCCGTGGCTCCCCCCCTTTGGCGCCAGCGAACGCCTCGGGTCTCGCACCTCCGAGCAGCCTTCGCCGTCCGGGGACGGGGCGCCTGCGACATCTCTCGGCGCCTCGCATTGGCCCGCCGGCCCCTGCTCCCGGGCCCCGGGCGGCCACAAGGGCCGCTCTGTGCCAGGGAGCGCGGTCCCGGCAACCACCCCGGGCCGGCGCGGCCCTCCCCGCACTGGGCGCGGACGCCGGCGAGCTGGGTCGGTCTGGCAGGGCTGTTTACACAGGAAGGGAAGGCTCCGTCCAGCTCCCCGGGAGGGGACGGGCGGCCGGGAGGGGACCGGCGGCCGGAGAGACGGCGGGGGGCGCACGCAGGTCCTAACCCCCCTCCGGGCCGAACGGCAGCGGCTCCCAACCTGGGAGGGCTCGGGGGCTCCCCACCTGGGAGGGCGGGGAGGCGCTTTCCAGCCTCAGGCGCCGCCTCCCCCCAGCCCCGCCGGGACGCCCGCGGGAGCCTCGGTGCGCCACAAAGTTTCTTCCCGCCGCGAGCGGCCGGGCGGCTTACCTGGGAGCCGGGGCACCAGGGCGCAGAGCGCGAGGAGGCAGGCGTACAGGGACGCCGCGGCCCGCGGCATGGCGGGGGCGCTGCGCGGGGGCCGGGGGCCGGGGCCGCAGCCGCATGCCCGGCGCGCGGCCGGGATCACAGCGCCCGGGGCCGGGCGGGGGTCGGCGGCGGCTGCTGCGCTGGCCCGCGCCCCGCCGCCACCATCCCTCCGGCGGCGGAGTCCCGGCAGCCGCTGCCCCGGCTCGCCGGTCGGGACGCCCGGGTGTCGGCGCTCGGGACGGACGGCCCAGGGGCGGCCTCGGGCCGGGGAGGGGCCGTGTCCGCGCCGCGGCCGAAACTTGGGCTCCGGGACGTGCCCCGCGCAGAGGCTGCCCCGCGCGCCGCACACTCACTCCGTGCTCGGCCTCCGCCCCTCCCCGCCCTCCCTGCGGCCGGCGGGCTCCCCTTTCCCCCCTCCCTCTTCTCTCCTCCCCTCTCTCCGGCTCCAGGCCCCCGCCCGGCCGCCACACGGTCCGCGCACGGCGGGGCGGGGCGAGCTCCCCGCCGGCTCCGCCCCCGCGCGGGACCGGCCGGGACTGCGGGCGGCCGGCGGCCAGGTGGGAGCCCCTTCCGGCGCGGGGGCGTGGGGCCGCTAAGCCGCTGGGTGGGGGGGGGGGGGTGTCTGGCTTGGCTTTCGGGGCGCTCCCGTAGGGGGCGGGGCACTCCGGGCCGGGCGAGCCGAGGTTACCTGGGGCGGCTGGTCCTCGGAAGGGAGGGCGGGGAGGTGGGGTCGGGCCTCCATCCCCCGCGCCCGCGGGTGGAAGAGGCACCAGGGCGCCCGCGGTCAGGCCAGCTGGATGGAGAAGGGAGGGCGCGTGCGTGGAGCCCGCTTTTCCCTCGTTAACATCTTGCCCCTTTCGAGGATTCGCGCCTGGCCGAGGTGCTGCTGATCTGTGTTTTATCTCAGTTACATGAGTGGGTCCCGTGAAGCCAAACTGATAAACTCAAAACCGGCCGCTCAGTCGAAATTCCAACTTAAATCTTCTGAGTTGGTTCTGAAACTGGGCTGAGGGCTGGGTTTGCGCGTGCGGAGGACCGGGTTGGGGATGGGTTGAGGCTGGAAAGGTAGAAGGAAACGGCAGGCTGCTGTGCTAACCACTGCACCCTGTTAACTCACATGATCCTTCTGGCGACTCTGCTGTCATCCGGATGAGAAAACTAAGACACAGCTTCACTTGCCGGAAGTGACAGGGATGGGTTGCCTGGTCCAAAAGTTCAGAATGCTTTGTCTAAAAACAGCCGCAGGGGAGGGGGGGCAATGTTAAAGTATGTACACAGATAATAATTTAATAAAAAAAGAGAAAAGAAAAGAAACCGCAGGAAGGAGGCAAGAGCAGTGGGACCTGGCCTCAGCAGGTCAGGAACCAGTTGGACAGATGGCTCCCAGGGGCTAGGCAGGGGATGTTTCTAACTGCCCAGACTAGGGAGTTTGGGGTTCAGTCTTTTTTTTTTTTTTTTTTAATATATTTTATTGATTTTTGTACAGAGTGGAAGGGAGAGAGATAGAGAGTTAGAAACATCAATAAGAGAGAGTTATCGATCAGCCGCCTCTTGCACACCCCCCACTGGGGATATGCCCGCAACCAAGGTACATGCCCTTGACCGGAATCGAACCCGGGGCGCTTCAGTCCCCAAGCCGACGCTCTATCCATTGAGCCAAACCGTTCCCGGCGTGGAGTTCAGTCTTTCGTGTGTGCTCCACACCCTCTGCCCTCTACACACACACACACACACACACACACACACACACACACACACACGTTACCAAAGTGGTGCCCCCATGCCAGAGAAAGCAAACTTATTCTTACAGTATGCTGTGCCTAGAAGCACACCTCCAGGTTTCCCTGAAGACCAGTGATTCATCCTTTGCCTGCATGCAAATAACATTTACTCTGCAGCATCTTGTTTGCTCTGGTGTAAAAGCCATGCTGTCTTCAAACATTTGCCAGTAAAATCGGTGCTGCAGAGGCTGCCCCGGTGTGTCTTGGGGTTTCTGCCGCAGGGGAGTGGTCTTGGGCTGCTCTTACCAACCTTGAGAGGCAGTGCAATGCTCATAAAGCACCGGGAGCTAGCCAGAGTTTGAACTGGGAGGTGTCGCTTGCCAGGCGGTGATTTTAAAAGATTTGCCTGGCGGGGTTTGTAAAGGACAGGTTAAGTGGAAGAAAGTGAAGGCTCATAAACCCGGTAAATAGTGCATTAAATGTAATAATAACTTCCATTTATCAAGCATCCTCGAAGCTTAGGCCCCGTGGTGTCTGTGCATCGCCTTCCCCACCCTGACACCGTGTCCCACTGTTCAGACCAACACAGAGCCCCGTTCACCTGCCTGCACCTGGGAAGGGCTGCAATCAAATACGCCCCGTCTTGCCCCACCTGGAGGTCTCCAACCTGCCCAGGCCTGCCCTAAGCCAATGAATCCCAGGGGATGACAACATTCTTCCGTGCTCCATTATCTCAGAACCAGTCTGGAGATGCCTTTTCTAATTCCTCTGAGGCGTTTGCTTTCTGGTTTGCAGCTTTTTTTTCTGTCCAAGAACCCTTTATTATTTTTTTTATTAAGAAGGAAGATGAAAGTGCCCTTCACATGCTTTGGCTTTCTCAAATCAGCAAAGTCCAGGTGTGCTAGCAGCCCTGCTCAGTAGGGAGATGAGGCAGTACTTCCCACCGTCACTGTTCCAGTTTCCTTTGTGTTGGCCTCAGGAACACCCCAATTCTAATCATTGCTGAGCTTCTGGGCCCGGTGGAAGCTGCTGGTTGGATTGGGTTTGACTCTTGGGGTTTGGGCATGGATAGCCCAGAGAAACTTTGTTTCTTATTAGTTTTTACATGTTGGCTTCTCAACAAGTGAAACAATTGCCGTATGATCCAGCAGCTCCAGTTCTAGTATATACCCAAAAGAATTGAAACAGACCCAAACAGATATTTGTGCACCTGTGTTCACAGCATTATTCACAAAATGTGGATGCAACTTATCAAGAGATGAGTGGATAAACAAATTGTAGTATCTATATGAAATGGTTATAATCCAGCATTAAAAAGGAATTGAATTCTGACATGTGCTATAATGTGGGTAAACCTTGAAAGCATTGTGCTAAGTGAAATAAGCAAGATGCAGAAGGACAAATTCATAGAGTTAAAGTATAATGGAGGTTACCAGAGGCCATAGAGAGGGAAAATGGGAAGTGATTAATTAACAAGGGGTTCAGTGCACAAATTCGTGCACCTTGAAAGGAAAGGAACTGTGGGTTTCATTTCGAGGTTGTGGTGGGCACAGAGGTAGGACTCAGCCCATCCTCTGTGCCCCTGCCCAGCACCCCCCACCCCCACCCCACCCTTGTTGCCTACTGTCTGCTGGCAGCCCCGCTCCTAACGCCAACACTCCCAAGCACTGATGTCGCAGAGCAATTGGTACTGAGGCCAGCAGTGGGTGCAAGCAGCAGCTGCTGCCCTGATTGCCCCTCAGGACCAGGGGAAGGTAGAAAAGCCCTTGGGTGATCAGGGCCAGCAGCCACCACTCACATCTGCCGATGGTGCTAAGCGATCGGGACTGACACCAGGTGCTGTCATAGGGTGCGAGCAGTGGCTATGGCTGATGCCCACCACGTTCCGTGTGCATCCCTGGTGGTCAGCACAGCAACTGGTTGTTTGATTGTTAAGTTGATCTGCTGTTTGGTCTATTTGCATATTAGCCTTTTATTATATAGGATGGGTATAGAATTTCTATCTGAGATAATGAAAAGAGTCTAGAAATGAATCATGGTGATTGTTGTACAATGCTGAGTTAATACCACTAAACTGTATACTTAAAAATTACTAAAATTGTAAATTTTGTTATGTATATTTTACCATAATTAAAAAAAAAAAAACTCTGAAAATCATACTAGTAAAAAAATTTTTCTATTTCACAATTCAGATTTAATGTTAACTCACCACTCCCACAGTGATTTGTCGCATTGTGCAATTCAGTTTATAATCCAGGTCAAGAATATTTTACTGATACATGGTTGTAATTTAATATGCAGGGGGGAATATTAGAGAGGGGAAAAGACCACAACCCTACAATACTCACCTTAGTTTAGGTAATATGCTTCATTGAATCTGCTTTTAATAGTTATGTCTGGAATTTGTCTCGGTGCAAGAAATGAATGGCCCTTGTGATAGAATATTACAAAATTCTTTTGCAGCAATGTATTTTTCTTCAACTTTTTTTATTTTAAAAAAATGACAAATTATATTCCTTTTTATTAAAAAAAAAAAAAAATGTCCTTTACAGGTTTTTCTTCCCCTGGGTACCATGGTCCTGGTTAGGAAAAAATAATCCCCCCATTTCAACTCTCAGAGTTTTCAGACTGCCAAGGACAGGCCTAACGGCAACATCCTGAGGACAGGTGAACAGGGAGATGGACGGAGGACAGGCCTTGTGCCAGTTGGTGAAAATAGCCTATTATGTTAACTGGCAGATAGCAGACCCCTCAGTAATTTTTATTTGCTTATTTAGGGTTAAGCATCGCATTGTGGTTATGACAGGCCTGGGTAGGAGGGGTTTCACATCCAGACGGGGAATAGAAAGCAGGCCTTGACAGAAATCTTCCACAGTAGGGAAAGGTGTTTCTGTTTGTTGTTGTTGTTGCGTTTAATGCCAAATGTAGCTGTGCGTCATATTATAGAAAAGTTAGATGTCTCTGAAGTTAAGCATTTTAAACGTATTAAGGAGGCATACCCTTCGCAAATAATGCATGTGTTTTCAAACCCCCTGCTCATATAATTATCAGTTCTGAAAGTGTTCATCAGTTACATCTTTTTGAGAACAATGTTCTTTAAGATTCTTTAAGATTATTCCGGATGGATTGTTATGTTTCCCAGCTTTCATGAACAGAAATATTTTAAACAATATTCATTAATAAAATTACAGTAAGAATGTGATGTTTTTCGATTGGTTTTGGCATGTTGTGCTTTCTTTTTTAAAAAGTTTTTCTTTTAAAATTCTCTTAGGGCTTAGACCCAGAAGAGACTGCTGAAGTCTTTATCTAAATGCCTCTTTTTGCTCTCGCAAAGCCATCACAATCTGTCTTTCTATTCCTATAAGTTATGCATAACACACACCACCTAAGGGCATAGATTCTTGTCCAGTTATTTCAATTTTTAAAAAGTACAATGAATGGCCCACCAGGCGTGGCTCAGTGGTTGCGAGTCAACCCATGAACCAAATCTAGGTTTGATTCCTGGTCAAAGCATATGCCCAAGTTGTAGGCCTGATCCCCAGTAGAGAGCATGCAGGAGGCAGCCAATTGATGATTCTCTCTTTTCATTGATTCTCTCTCTCTCTCTCTCTCTCTCTCTCTCTCTCTCTCTCTCTCTCTCTTTCTCTCTCTCTCTCATTCTCTCTATCGCTCT